GCAGCGGCGGGGAGCGCGGGGGGACTCTGGCTCCTGTCACTGCTGCTGCCTTGTTCTAAGTTCTGCCTCAGTCAGGCCGGGCGGGCCCGGCGCCCCGGGCCGCCGAGCGCGCGGCCCCGTCCCTAGCGATCCGGCACCTCGCCGTTCCTCAGCGAGCGCTGCCAGGCCACCATGGCCTCTCTCGTCCTTTCTTTCCCACCCCCTCCCTTTTTCCCCCCTTTTTTCCCCCCATTTCTGAAATGATTAAAAACATAAAAAAAATGGATTTAATAAAGAGGAACTGGGGATGGAAAGGGCTTCTTTGTTCTGTCTTCTCCAGAACGTTACAAGTCTAAGAGCTCAGGACAAGAGCAGCAGAAATACATGCAACATGGTGACTGGTGAGTCCAGATTGTCCACATGCTGCAAGTTGTGTGTGTGTTTGCAGTAACCTCGGTCCGAGTTATGAACTAACCGTGTGTGCTCATGGCCCCCAAAGAGTTTCTTGAACTTTATTTTGTTTATTTATTTATTTATTGGCTGGGAAGTGTCCTTACCCTGAGAAGAGAGCAGTTATGCCCCTATACTGAAGAAAGTTTGTCTTGGGTGCCCTTTGTTTTTGAAATACAGTATTAAAAACATGTGTTGCCAAGTAAGGATGGATCTGTGCTACTTTTAACAGGTGCTCACTAGTTCCAGAATGCATGAACTGATTTATTAACTAGCAGGAAAAGGAGTAACTGCAGTGGTAAGCTGTGTGTGGTGGAGTACAAAAACCTACTGAATGTGACGTTGGGCCTAAAGGAGGCTTTGGTTAGAAACACTGTTATCTCCTGCCCTCCAGATCTTCTCAGTATGACTAAAATCTCTGAATACAGCGTTAATTTCCTGAGTTTCTAGCTAGATCTGATACCTCACAGTGTTCTCTCAAGTGCTGTTTTACTTGAAAATTCCCAAGGAGCCTTCAAACAGTCAGGAATGTGAGTGGCCTGTTCAGCCTGATTTTCTTTGCACCCCCCCCCCCGTGCTTCCTATCCTTAGTAATATGGGTGATCCTGAAAGCAGCTTAATCCGGCTTACTCTTTTACCTGTAGGATCTTTAGTTTCCTTTCTTTGCCAGGAGTGCAGAGCAGATTCTCCATGTTTTTAAGCTATAAAGGAAGTTGTTGTTGTGGAGCAGGGGCTTTCTGGACCACCCCACGGTGGTCCTGGGGTTCTAATCCGTAACTGGCACTTCTAATGCCAAGTGTAATAAACCCTGAATAACAGCGAAGACTCTGCATGCTAGATGAAGGAAAGAGCTTCCAACAACTTGTCACAGGGGAAGGCCCGCAGGAGTCTTGATAGGCTGTTGATTTTTTGATGCTTGCTAAAGAGAAGCAGCTAAGATGAAGCGACTAAGTCAAGGATATGTAGCTGAAGAGTCCATGATATGTGTGTTCACCTTCCTTGGTGGTTGGAAGAGATGGGTGAAGAGACACCTGATGGTGGCCTTCTTCGGGGCTTTTGCTTATGGGTTGGGGCTTCTGGTGGCTCCTGGCCTTGGCTGCAGAGGAGCAGAGCGTGTGTAGGAGCAGCTCTCAGCTGAAGGGCCAGGCTCCTTCGTAGTCTTACCAGGATGCAGGCTGATGGCATTGTGTGGCTGCTAGGGCTAATGGAAAACAGTGGCCCAGCTCGTCTCCGTGATCTCTCCCCTGACACAATTAACAGAAAGCAAATAGCTTCCTGTGACTTGATTCCCTGAGCAGTTGTACCATAATAAGCCCTAATGCGGGAGCAAGGAAGGAGGCAGGAGCTTTGCTGAGAGGTGGGTCCACGCTGTTCAGCCAGCTGCCACACACACCTCACTGCAGCAATCCCATAGCACCTGCGGTGTTCTGGGCTCCCAGCTTGGCATCCTGGGGACTTAGTCTTCAGAAGAGCTTTCCACCTCAAAGCGGCATCCCTAATGCATCCCTAAGCGAGTGTGCAAAATGATTACTCGCTTCTGAAAGCCCAGCTGTGGGGCCAGAGTCAAGTATTTGCAAGCTGTAAGCAGAAAAACTGGGCAAGCTGATCGCTCAGTGTGCGCTTCCCACCTTCAAAGAACCAACAAAGCTCCTTGCACTTAGCTGCAGAATTCATTGGATAAAGGCCCTGCCTGAGTCACCGGAGATGCGTTAACAAGGTCATTCTTCCTTTGGTTCCAATGTGGATATATAGGCAGCAGTCACCCGGGAAAAGGCTAAGAATCTGTCCTATAGGGATATACAGAATATTGATCTAGTGTTGCTACCCCCTTGGCCGGGGAAGGTGAGTGCTGAGCTGAGGGATGTTCTTAGCTTGTTCTTGAGTGCCTTGTGGACAAACTTTACTCTAGGGTAACTAATTAAACTCCATCACTTAAAGGTGGCTTAAAGGATTGTCAAAACTGCTGGAAGGAGTGTGCTTTGTTTTGTTTTTCTTTCTTTGTCTTTGTTTTTCCCAGAACTGTTGCATTTAATATAGTGATCTCCATTAGCACATGCTTTTTATCACTAAGCAGCGATGCATGTTTTAAGAATGTTATCTTCAGTAATTTAATACAGAATATAGCGATGTTCATTGCTCGAAAGACCCCATAAATTGTATATTCATCAGCAACTATCTCATGTGCTCCCTTAGGTTTGGTACTCCTGTTTTCTCTGACCCTGGTCTGGTGCGTTAGCAGTGAAATGAATTTCTGTGGAGTTTTCCTTACTGTCACACAGCAGGAAAGAGTGGTTAACCTGGTGCATCTCATCCTGATTTTTGGGGAATTGTAATTGAACTTTTAGAGTGCCCTTACATTTAAGTGTAGTGCTGCTGAGAGCCTAGAACTAACTTCCATTTGCACCAGGCTGCTGAAGTCTAGTTTTTAATCAGATATTTCTGCCTTGTTTCCATTTATTCAAGTCACTGTGAAAAACTGTATAAGTGGTTTTGCTTTACATACCTATTTTATTTAGAATTACACTCTTAATGTACATGTAGTAGGGTTTGCCATTCTTTTCTGCCCCTCCACAGCTTGTACAGTAGTAGTATATTGATAGTGCAGTACTGTACTGAACTTGTAGTCCTGTATTGTTTCCCATCTGTTATGACCATCGCAGAAGCTAGCAGTTATAACCCAAATATATTTACCCTGTATCAGAACCAATTGGTGCCTTAACTGTATACTCACTGCAGAAATGATTTCTGCGTTTAAACAAGATAAGTCAATAACAGAGAGGAGAATGTTGTCAGAGAGCAACGCTAGAGCTTTCTCGTGTTCTCTGGTGATTATTTTTTTCTTTGCTCTCTCTTTCTCCCTCCTCTCATTTTCTTTCCGTCTCTTTTGTTTTCCTGCATGGCATGTATCATACTAACCCCTTGCTATAACAAAGGGATATCAAGAGTTGCTGTTGTGGTTGCTTCTGTCGCTTCCAGAGTCCTCCTTTTCCATGTGTCCCGTTTGCAATGTGAGGAATCTCTTAATTTCAGCGCTCACTCCCTTTTGCTTGTTAAGCTCAAATCAATAGGGCCGTCCTAGTCCTGATGGCAGCGGCGGCTCCACGCCGCATCTGATGCTCTTCCGTTGTGCTTCCCATTAGCTGCTTAGAACAGAGCTGCATGGCCTGCCTGAACTCGCTGCTTCCTTCTCCCACCTCGGGGGCTGCAGAGCAGGGCACAGGTATTGATTTCTAAGCTGCTGTCACTAATGCTGCATGCTGCGAATGACTGAAACAGTGTGACTTGCTTTAGCCTGCTCCAGAACTGGCCTGATGGGTGTTAATACGCTGCTACAGGAAGACTTCTCGTGGCAGTGAGCTTTTAAATAGGTATTGTGGTTATCCTTCAGACTTCCCTAGGGTTAACTAGAGAAAAGTGTATTAGCACAAGATGCCTTGAAAAACTAAAGCATCTGTCTCGAGGCATCTGGCTGTGCATGTTTGCTGGTTTTCATATGGTACTTTAGTGTGAGAAATGAATTACTGGAGTTGGGAATATCATTGCACAGTAGGAGTACTATAGTTAAGAGTTTACCTGTCTTCTTTCTTTCTCTCTCTCTCTTTTAAGGAACCCTAAGGACCTTGCAATATGAATAATTCTTTGGAGAACACCATTTCCTTCGAAGAATACATCCGTGTGAAAGCGCGAACAATCCCCCAGCACAGGATGAAGGAGTTCCTGGACTCCCTTGCTTCCAAGGGGCCTGAAGCTCTGCAGGAGTTTCAGCAGACAGCTACGACCACCATGGTGTATCAGCAAGGTGGCAACTGCATTTACACAGACAGCACAGAGGTGGCCGGGTCTTTGCTTGAACTTGCATGTCCTGTGACAACCAGTGTCCAGCAGCAAACTCAGCAAGAGCAGCAGATACAGGTCCAGCAACCACAGCAAGTCCAGGTAGGCATCTTAAATCACTTTTGAATGTATCTGCTAACTCACAAAATAGTGTTTAGAACCAGCTAACATTAAAATTGAAACCACAGGCGAGTGTTGAAGAGTTAGAGCCAATAACTTGATATATAAGCAGCTGTGTTTCACTTACTAAATTTGCTATCCAATTTCTCTCTTTTGATTCTGCCTCCATTGAGCTCCACTGCAGGAGGAGCAGCATACACAGCAGTGTAGTGGTGTAACCTGTTCGAGAAATGGTTGGCAGTTCTGGCGTGGACACAACTCCCTGAAGTCCTTGCACTCTGTGAAACAGCTATAAATACCCCCCTGCTGGTCTCCGTTGCTCTACCTCGTTGTGTAGATGGAATCCAAATCCTTCACTTTGTTACTGAAATCAAAACTCTTAGTTTAGAATGATTTCACTTGAATATTGGGAATGTTGTTGTTCTTGAACTGGTCTTTAAGTTAGGGGGAAATACAGGGGAAGTTGATTCTATTATGAGCCAGGGAAGGCATCTTTCAAGAAAGACATTCTAAAAGATACGTGCGTGTCAAGGAAGGTTATTTGTTTGCACAGTGGAATGCGTCATCTCCAGTTTTTAATACGCATTACAGTAATTTTTAAAAAAACCTTAAATAAGCAAATGTAGCACCAGGAGAAAACCACACAAAATACCAACAAAACACCATGGGATAACCACTTTGGCCCTCCAATCTTATTTCTTATGAGCCTGCAGAGCATTTGCTAAGGCACTTATATGTCTCAAAATGACTGGACCTTACGACGGGTGTAATTCTCATACATTTCAGATATGAATCTTTTTCCCTTCTATAGCTTAAATATGTGAACTTTTCCCTTTTGTACCAGTAAGGAGATAGTGTGAACTTGCCACCAAACAATAGACATGTTAACAGCTCACATGCATACTGACATGCTGCGGTAAAGATGGAGTTAGTTATCTGTTTCACAGAGTAATTCACCTGCAATTATTCTCCCTAAAAAGTAAATGAATGTTAACTGTTCCTGCTCTGACCCGATGCCCTACAGTAACTTGTGTCATTTGGCTCTGGGAGAATAAAAAGCATGGATGGATGAACTGGATCTCTTCATGACTCTTAAAACGGACAAGGGTGATTCTGGTTCCGCTAGCTAGAGATTTTCAGACCAAAAAAGGATCAATTTCCTTAGAAGTAGGAGTTAGCAATTTTCTTATTTTTATTATTATTATTTTTTGAGATCAGTACCTTAGCTTTGAAGATGTTAAAAGACATCAAAGCACTTGTTTAAAAATAAAAACACAGGGAACAACGTTTTTTTACTGCTGCCTCATTCCAGAGCTATTCAAAGTTCAGACTTGACCCTTTGAAACCTTCTCTTAAGGCAGATGGGGAGAGAGGTCATATATCATACAAGCTAGGAAAAAGAACTTGACCTTCTTTAAAATAACCGTAGTGTTGCTGCCAGAGCTCTGTACCTATTTTCTAAACTAAAGGGTCTGTGCTTTAGGGACTATGAAAAATACTTAGCAAATATCAGCCCTTACACAGCTTGCCAAAGGAATGTTGTCTTGCCCTTCCCCATTGTTTCTGATGTGGCTCTGCTTTAAAATCCCTGCTTTCATGCCTGTGAGTACACACCGTAATTAGTATTTTTTATTGCTTTGCAGCTTCCTTTGGTCTGTTCCCAAATCCATGCATAGCATAACCTGGTACTAGATATGACAGCAGCTTTGGGGTATCATCAGAGCAGTTGGGCTTGTATAGATTTCAGCAACTGTCTGGAGTTATCTTGAAGCAAATGAATGGGCCTTGCTGTTTGGCAAGGTCTGAGATGAGAAAGTGTCTTTCCTTCCCTGCAAAAGCTTCAATGTTCTTATCTCTTTCACGATTTCTCATCGAGATGTGATTAACTTTAAAACCTGGGTTTAGCATTCGCCCCTCTCCAGACTGTTGCTGTGACAATGGTAACACAGCCTGGTGCTTGAACCAAGTTGATTTTGTTAGAGCTTTGGGATGGCCAGAGCAGTGTGTCTGACCCAGCTCATTTACACTGCCACAGAACCTTAGCCAGTAAATTTGAAGAATTTGGATGTGGACCATGAGGAAGTCAGCTGCAGACTAACATGAGCCGAAAACAAAGTCTTTCATCCTGTTTTTGTTTGTTTTATATTAGCTTGGCTATTGAGCTACTTTTACAGTTGCACCTTGTTTGCTGAACTGCTGCCTGTGTTACCTTGTGAGAAACTTGGGTTCATCCTCTGAAACCTCTTAGATTGTCATCAGACTTGTCATCCCAGTACTTGACACGATAATCCGCGTAGTTCCTGTTAACCCAGTTGCAAATCAGTGGAAAACCAAAGTGCTGAAGTCTAGCTGAGTGGTGGTGGTGCTGAAGATGACTAATAATATAACTAGTTGGATGTAGCCTCACAGCTCCAAGTGCTGATGACAACCTTATGATCATAGACAGACAGTGCTCAGGTTTCATCCTGAATCTTGTTGTTGACAAATGACAGCGGTACATGGTGGTTTTATTTATCCTGGGAAAATAAATTTTATGTTCGAAGAACTACTTTAGAATACTTTTCAAATTCCTTCTTGAACACTTCAGGGTTCTCTTGTTGATAAGGTTCAACAGACTCTTGTCAGACACTGTTAACCCCAAAATTGAGTAGATGGAACTGTCTGGTTAAGTTTTGCACAAGTCTCAAGTGTCTTGGAGCACCTTCCATGGCCAGTATCACAGTGGTGCAATTATCAATTTTGAGAAGCAACTTTGGATCCCAAGTTGATGTACTTTATGCTGTCCTAGTTGGGAAGAGCTGTGTTTTGCTCCAGTCAAGTAAGAGTTTTCCTGGTTCTGCCTTTTGCAAGATTGTTGCTAGCTGGTCTTGTGCATTGAGCTCATACAGAATTGATGATGCTGGGGTGAAAGGGTGTTAATGTCGACTTGCTTACTGAATAGGGCATTTGTACAGAGGCTCATGAGCCTCTTTTATTCCCCAGATTTAGCAGAAAGAACATCAGAGAGTAGGGTCTGGACACAGCACACACAGAGAAGATTCTCACTTCCAGCTCTTTAGGAAGATTTTGGCTAGATGGCAAGAGCTCTTTGGGCTGGGATTAAGAGAAGATGCTGCAGCTGAGCAAGACTACAGACCTGTACAGAGAATGGTTAAATACTCGCGTAAACTGTTAGGTTGTTAACTGATAATTTTGCCTTTTTTTTTTTTTTTTTTTCCCAATCTCTTTTCTGTGACATCAGACCATTATAGGAAGCTGGCTGATATTAATAAAGTAAGGCAGGGGAGGATGTACTTAAGTAATCCGGAAGAAAAGTTTTCTTCTCTGACTCTGCCAAGAATATCTTTGCTTCCCTTTGGATGTGGCCTTCTCCTTCCTCAGCCTCCCACTTTAGTTCTGACATTTAGCCGCTCTTCTAACAAAAAGTAGAGCTCTCTTTAATTTATCTTCCAAAGCCTCCAAATAATGCATTAGTATTGCAAATGTTATTATTAGCTGCTAGGTCTGAGTTTGTCTCTTCAAAGTATGGTTGTAGAGTAGGGTGTTCAAAGATGGCCCTTCTTCGGCATGGAAATTTAAGAAGGGGAGCTGTTTTGTTTTCCCTAGTTAATGTGTTTTAAGTGTCTTGGATCTAAATCCTGCCCCAGTACGTATCTTGACAACATAGTCTTGATGTTGAACTGTTCAGACACATAAAAGGCATATTTTTTTGGCGGGTGGAATTATCTTACAGAAGTTGATGAACGAGCGGAGGGAAAACATAGAGTGAGTGTCTGTCTGGCAGTTGTTCTGAGCAGTTGACTTGTACACTCCCCATAGACCTTGTTTACTTTGGTAGATAGCAAAGCACTTCCTGTAAAGCAGTTGTATAACAAGTTCAACATTTCCTGCTACTTGAGAGTGATCAGTGTTTTTACCTACTGTATTACAGATCTATTTTATATGTGTATGCATGTGTTAGGTAACTTTGGCAAGATGTAAAAAGGAGCCTTTTATTACAGTGTTAATCTTTTAAATAAGGAATCACTTTGACTTAGGACAGTTCTTAGAGAAAGTGTATTTTAAGCCTAATTTCTTTTAAGTTGGGCTGCAAATTTTGAGATTGCTGTTCTTACTGTCATTACCTATTTGTCCTTCAGCCAGCTTGCTCAGGTGCAGAAGTCTGAGGTGCAGCTAGGATAATTTTGGGTTTTTTGAAGGTTTTTTTCACTTCAAAAAGATCAACTCTGCTGCCTGCCCCTTGCTTACCACTCCTGATTGGAGCCTGTCAGTGAGGATTCCCTTCGGATGAAACTAAGCCATAAGAGGTTATCTTCTTGCAGAGAGATCTAGTCTGGTCTGGAAAATGAGCCTGTCAATATGAAGTGAAATCTCCTGGAATGCCTTGTATGGGGGCACTAGGTCATTTGGCTTTGCTCTGAGAATCTGTTCTTTTTGTATCGTACTACTTGCTAGTGTCAACGTGGGTTCAGGAAACAAAGACTTGTTCAGGAAAATAAGCATCTAAGAGAGCATGTTGGCTCTCTAGGGCAGGTTAGATGCTGGAAAATCCATGCAGGCGAGAGTTGGTATGAATATCCTAGTGAGCAGAGAAATTTCAATTAAAGTGAGGTTTTGGGAAATGCTAAATAATCCAGTCAATCCACAGATGAGATTTCCTTTGCTTGCAAATTCTCTAAATTTAATTATTTCAGAGCTGCAGTTCTGCGGTGTGGATTTTCTGTCTAACAGGGAATTAGACAAAGCAGACATGAATATTCTTCTTGCAAGTTTTATTTGGAGTTAGTCTATCAATCATGAGGCATAAAAAACACCTTAGAAACTAGGCTTTATTTGTTCCTGGCTCATGGAGTTACTTACTTTCTTTACATGTCCTATGAAGAATGTAGTTTTGAGCTTAATGCAACAAAAGATTTACTTTTAAGCCTATAAAACAGTCATTTTTACGTGTGAAAGCATTATTTTTTTTTGCCCTGACTTCTGCTGATTTTGATTCTCCAAGCTAATAGTTTGTCTAACTTCTATCTAGTACTTCTATCAAATTTAACTCTTCTGGACCTGTAGTTAAAAATATTGATAGTTCCTTGCAGTATGGAGAGCTTCCTGTGTGTGTATGTGTATTTTTTTTTTCCCCCATTGAATCTGGCTTTCTCATCTTGCTTGGGTCTGGGTTTTCTTTGGGTATCAACGATAGTGCTGCGTAAACTTAAAAGCAGTAGCAAGAAATCCTAGTTCTAGTGGTTATGATTTATGTCTAGGGGAGTATTGTATGGCCTGAGGTCGTGATTTCTCACCTCCTAAAAGTAGTGCAATTTGCCCATGGATTTTACAGATAGCTTAGGATCTGAAAGCTGAAGGAAAAAGAATAAAATAAATAAATGCAATCTCAACTTGGCTGTTCTTAGTTCTGCAGATGCCTTATGCTTAAGCCCACTGTCTTTCTAGTTGTGCGTGCAAGATAAAATTGAGTGCAGGAGCAGACTATTTTTGTTGCTAGCAGTAAGAATTGAAAGTCTTCACTTAGGCTGAGGTAGCAAGAGGCAGCACTGTGTATGTTAAAGCAGTAGCAGAACTATAATCTAGAATTGTCTATGCATAAAGGTGATTTCTAAGGTGTTCTTAGTCAGCCTGTGCAGATTCTCTAAACACACTGCAGATAAGACACATACTTGGACTTTTTTTTTTGGCTCATCGGTAGGACAGTATGATATAAGCATCAAAATCAAACTTAAATAGTGTGTCCTGTAGGTGACTTCATCCTTTTCAGTTAACTACCTCATCAACTCATTCATTGATGCAGCTTTTTAAACTGTCATGCTGGCCCAAGGTCATCTGTTTCTTGTTACCTTGCTGGAAATTGCATAAAATCCACATTATCTGACTTACGGAACACTGCATATAGTTTTCAGGAGTCTTCAAAATTTGCATATATATATATAAATAAAATATGAAGGTCTGCAAGGGTGCATTTTGCTAGCCTCCTCTTTTTTTTTCTCTTTGTCAGCTGTTAACTGGCTGCAAATATTTTAGAAGTTTAAGACTTCTTAGAGGTGACTTTGGGATTAAGGGTGAGTTTTCTTGCATCTACAATGTACAGATATGAGTGGTAGTTCTTGTTGGTATTGTTTGCCCCTGTCTCCCCCTGCCCCAAACTAAAATGAGCTGTGTTCAGATCAGAGTCTGAAAACATTTTAGCAAGATACTAGCATTAGAGATGACCTTAAAGACTTGCTGTAGGAAGGCCTGTGCTGAAATAACATTGCAGCAATGCAGATAGTTCCGGAGACCGTCTTTTGTCTCCCAGGGATATAGTCTGTTGGAATGAGCCCATAGATCTTTCTGAGAATGGGAGAATCGTACAGGCACTGCTCTATTTTGTAGAGAAGAGCAGAAAAATGTGCAGTACTATCAAATGTGACATCTACTCTGCCTGTGTTGTCACTCATTAGTGACTCGGTTTCACTTTCTCTTTGGTGGAGGGTTAGTGTTTGGAATCATAACCCGGAGCCCCAGTGGCCAGGAGCAGAGAGTGCCAAGGATGGGCCCCGTTGGTGGATGTCACTGCTAAATCATCAACATTTGCTCATCTCTGATGGCCCATTTGGTATTGTTGCAGGTTCAGGTCCAGGTCCAGCAGTCGCCGCAGCAGGTCTCCGCCCAGCAGCTCTCTCCCCAGCTCGCTGTTCATCAGGCTTCAGAGCAGCCGATACAGGTGCAGGTGCAGATCCAGGGCCAGGCGCAGCAGCAGGCGTCCCAGACAATACAGAGTCAATCTCTGCAGAGCCCCAGCCCGTCTCAGCTGCAGGCAGCTCAAATCCAAGTGCAGCACGTGCAGACTGCCCAGCAGATCCAGGCTGCGGAGATCCCGGAGGAACACATACAGCACCAGCAGATCCAGGCCCAGCTCGTGGCAGGACAAGCCATTACTGGTGGCCAGCAGATCCAGATCCAGACCGTTGGGGCCCTCTCGCCTCCACCTTCCCAGCAAGGCTCTCCGCGAGAGGGAGAGCGGCGGATCAGCACTGCTAGTGTCCTTCAGCCGGTGAAGAAACGCAAAGTGGATATGCCTATTACTGTTTCCTATGCTATTTCAGGGCAGCCCGTTGCCACAGTGCTGGCCATTCCTCAGGGCCAGCAGCAAAGTTATGTCTCTTTAAGGCCAGACTTACTAACAGTGGACAGTGCCCACCTGTACAGTGCCACTGGGACCATTACTAGCCCCACTGGAGAGACTTGGACCATCCCCGTTTACTCTGCTCAACCACGCGGTGACCTTCAGCAGCAAAACATCACCCACATCGCCATCCCTCAGGAGGCCTACAACGCCGTCCACGTCAGCGGCTCGCCAACGACGCTGGCGACCGTGAAGCTGGAAGACGACAAGGATAAGATGGTGGGAAGTACTTCCGTCGTGAAGAACTCGCATGAGGAGGTGGTGCAGACTCTTGCTAACTCGCTCTTTCCAGCGCAGTTTATGAATGGCAACATCCACATTCCAGTGGCGGTGCAGGCGGTGGCAGGGACATACCAGAACACGGCACAGACAGTGCACATATGGGACCCGCAGCAGCAGCAGCAGCAGCCCACGCCCCAGGAGCAGGGACAGCAGCAGCAGCAGTTGCAAGTCACTTGCTCGGTAAGTTGAACTGCTTCTTGGTCCCCGGCCTTGATTAATGATTTGCAAATGTTACGGAGAGAAGATATCTGTGGTCAGCTGGTAAGGGGGAAGCAGAGATGTGTCTCATCCCAGTATTCTGGATGTGACATATGGCATTTGACTCCTGATAGATGTAGAACTGAGCCGTATTAATGTTGGAACATAATTATAGGATGCAAAAGAAACGAAATAAGAGATTTCTGTGGAGATCTTTCTAGTGTAAGTAAGTAAATATAAACTCATTGCTCACTTCTGCGTGGCAGGTACCCTTGAGCTCTGCAGTGCTCTGCTGAGCTAGTCTAGGGATTGCAGTGGAAAGGTGGGGACGACTGCAGCAAAAGGTCTTTTGTGCAGATACCAGTCATGTCCTCCTTGGTTAGTGAGCAGCACTTAGGCACCTTAGCAAACCTGTGCTTAGGGTGTGGAAATCTGACTGTTGGAGCTAACTTTGTACATATGCTATATGTATATGATGTATCCGTCTGTAATGTTGTGTCCCTTTTCCAGTAAGTGCTTGTGAGACAAGAACAGAAACGAGCAGTGGCGAGTAAGCACCTCTTTGTAGAGTGCTTGGCAAACATAGCAGTGAAATTTTGCTGTTTTTTCAAGACTTTATTACTCTCTGTAAGCCATAGGTTATTTTAAGCTGCCTTTTAAGACTTGAATAATTAGGGCTCTTAGTGACCTGTCTTATATGTGCAAAAAAATGTTTTTGGTTATTAACAAAAAGTCAAAAGTGATTATCTGTTGCAGGCTTTTCCCCTGAGTGGTTGGGGATGAAAATAATGATTTCTGCAAGCATAAATGATAAGAGTTATTATAAATTCCTTTGTATTTATAAGCAACACTGTTGGCTTTGTATTAATTTATAATGGTGTATATGCCCATCACTTCATCAGTCAGCATTGACACAAGGGAGATCGCTGTAGTTAGTCGCAGTTGATTGTTTCAAAACTTAGTTATCGTGTTGGGCTACAGTGTCTCTCTTCAGTGGAAAGGTTTCCTTACGTCTGTAGAGCTCTTTTCAGTTGCTGGATGCCTCTTTCATAAAGCTGTATTTTCAGCTGCAGCTTTTGGGCCTTGCCGTATGTAGATGTGTCTTTCTTGTTTTTGTGTGCGTGGTTTAAAGAGCCTTTTGTCCTCTATTGTTCTTGTAGAGATTACTTTATCACTGTCAGCTAATTAACCAAACTAAATTGATGGAACTTTTTGCCTTTCTACTAAACAGGATTTCTAGGCTTTATTCTAAGTTATCTTAAGAGCTTCACATTCAAAGAATACTTCCTGGAGTGTGAACTCTACAGTGGCATGTAGTATTTCTCTAATGTCACTTACAAAGCTTCTCCAGGGCTGTGATCCCTGTGTGCAGTGGTTCACAGTTCTTAGATATCAGATGTTTTCCTGTTACTATTCCCTCGAGTAGTCGGTGTTGCATAACCCCCAAAATAGACATGCAAGTCCAGGAGGCATCCATCCTTCCTCTTAAGAGGAAGAAAAGAAAGCTATTATAGGTGAACATCCAACTCCTCGGGAGTGTCCCTGTCAGCTGCAAGACCAAGAAGGAAGTTCCTTCCTTGCCCCACGCTGTCCTCTGGCATTGTGCTACAGTGGGAATATCATGAGAATCTTGACATGTTGCCATGGAATGAGTGTTGTTCTTCCAGTAACTCTTTCCTACCTCATTCTTACTGCATTGTGGTTCCTGCCACAATGTCAGCTTAACTGCTGCCAACTTGGGCAAGTATTTTGCCCTATTTGTGGGAAATGTAAGTCAGTTAAGCAACTGCTAATTCAGTGAATTCACTCTAGCCCATTTGCTTGCCTTTAAACTATGCTCATAGATGAGCTAGCTATGGGCGAATGCCATGTCAGGCTGAAGGAGAAGGCTAGCTTTGGAAAGCTCTCTGTTCCAAGAAGAGCAATGAGACAGCATTCAGGAGAGGAATCGAGGGACAAACCTAGCTTCTAAAAGATGAGATGTCCATTCACCCTTAAATTCCTGTCCTCTGTAAGATGGGAGCTTTCTTGATAAATTGAGCATTGTCACCAACTGTTTGGTTGAAATGAAGGTGAGCCTTTCCAAATATTCCCTCTGTGAAGCTCTGTTAGACCTTTTTGGTGACACAGAGACTGCTATGAAAAATAAAAAAAAAAAAAAAAAAAAAAAAAAAAAAACTGTTATTGATGCAAAAAAACTCTATCAGAGGCAGTTGATCTGGCTGAAAGCTCCTGTCTGAGACTGCTGCTTCAGCTGGGGCTTGTGATACTAAGTAAGGTCCAAACATTACCAAAATTTCTACATATCATTATAGTTTCTGATACTGTCAGAGCAACATTCGCTAATAATTGACTTGGCAGTATCAAAGCCAAAAATATAACTTATTAAAACAATGCCTTGTTTTTTTGGGTGGATCTTAAGAAAGAGAAAGGAAAACTGTGTATTGATGAAAGAATTGCCACCTCTGTAACGTTCAGGGGAGCTGAAGAGAATGATTAGCTGTCTGACTAAGGGCTGTATAAAATTTCAGGTTAATCTTAGTCAAGATAACCATGGGACTCTTCTTTTTGGTACAAGATTGAGAAGCTATTGCAGACATCAGAGAGTGAATGCAACTATAGGTCTCGTTGCTCTTTTTGGATAGGTGCCGTTAGTGCTTGCAAAATAAGTTTGTTTGACATAGTAATCCTTGATGGCCTGAGGTCTTGCTGCAAAGTAAACTTCCGAAGAGTCTGAAGACCTATTAGCTATTTGCAGTACAGCTACTAGTCTGTCTGAGCAGTGATTCTGTGGTTTGGGAGAGCATTTCATTTCAGTTGAACATGTTTTCATGCTCATGATCTAGGGTGTTACTGCTTTATACTTCTTTAAAAAGTTGCAAACAGTACTGGAAATGCATCAGTGCAGCCTGTTGGTATTAATTCTAACGTAGTGAAAGGCAACCATAAGCTGTGCAGCATATCTGTCCTGTGTGCCCGTTGTGTGCAGTATTATCATCATCCTGCCTGCATCCTACCAAGAGATTGCAGTTGCTGGCCAAGGGAGGGGAGGTTATGAGCAGCATCCCGCACGGCTGCGCACTTGGAGCCTGGTTCAGGCTGAGGTTCCAGGCTCAGAGCAGTGAAGGCCAGTGAAGCTGGTGCCGCCTGGCTGCTCTTCCCAGCTGGGGCAGCCAGGCTGTCTAGGTGCCAGCCCTCGAGGCTGTCTGCAAGGGACATTGGGCTGCTCTTGCTTGGTGAGATGGCCTTTTGTGGTGGTTTGGTGTGAGCTGAAACCAACAGGAAGGTGTCAGGGAAAACAGCTCTAAAAATCTTGGAAAAATCATCTGTTTCTCTGAGAGGAGACCAGAAGTCTCTTCCTGAGAGGATTTTAAGCCCATAAAGATCCTTGCCTTTGAAGGTACAGGCTAGCTGCTTCTCTGCATGGCTGCAAGAAGAGGTCTTGTCTGTTGTGTCTCCCGTGATGTTTTGCAAGATTTCTAAATGCAAGGTGACTGCAAGGTGAACGGATTCACTAAAGGATGACAAATAGACCCACTCAAACCAACAATGTTCTTGGAGAGACAAATACTATTTCATAAGGAACTATTCAGGTTAGACAGCAAAAGTTGCATTCCTTGGATTAATTTCTCTTCAGAGGAGAGTGTTGTAAAAGGCTGATATCCTGGGGCTAGAGGTAGTAGTGCTACGTGACTTTAGTTTTGTCTAGCTGTTGCATACCAAGGAGTGTGTGTGTGTACATATATATAAAATGTATATATATAACATAAATAATTTCTTTCATAGGCTCAAACAGTTCAGGTTGCTGAAGTTGAACCACAGCCACAGCCGCAGACTTCACCGGAGCTTCTACTTCCAAACTCTCTGAAGCCAGAAGAAGGGCTTGAAGTTTGGAAAAGCTGGGCGCAGACCAAGAATGCAGAGCTGGAAAAGGAAGCCCAAAACAGGCTAGCACCTATTGGAAGTAAGTGTCATGACAAGGTTGCCTTTACTTCTTTTCAAGTAGGGATTAGACCGTGACCAAGATTTTAAATGTTAAACCCTCTGTTGGAAAGATAGCCTTCTGTTTCAAAAGTGATTGTTCTGATTTAAGCTTAGCTTTGATTTACTTAATATTAGTAGCTGGCTACTGTAGCTACATGCTTAAAGAAAGAGGTTAGTTCTGTGCTAAGCCAACTTGAGCACCTAGGCTGATAGCAGTGGAAAGGGATGTTGAGTGACTGTGATGCACAAAAGAACAAAGTGGTTGTGTGTAGCCACCAGATTGGCAGAGCAAGCACCGAGGGGCTGTTTTTCTGTTGCTGCAGAGCAGCGTTTCGTTGTGGGTGTGGAGAGAAGAGCCACTCATCATGCAGTTGGCAGAGCAGAGAGTTTTCTGTTGTGTTCCTGCCCTTGTCTTCTAGCAGCTCTGACAATCTAAGCTTTATTTAAGCTTTCAGTATTATACTGGGCAAGTGAGATGGTACTGAACCTCCTGGATAGAGTGGTGAAGCTGGGAATTGGGATAGCACGCCTGGAAAATCAGAACTCTTTAGGTGGCTTTATTCTGTTTTCCAGGGCGTCAGCTGCTGAGGTTCCAGGAAGATCTCATCTCTTCAGCTGTAGCTGAGCTGAATTATGGTCTCTGCTTAATGACACGGGAAGCTCGCAATGGTGATGGTGAACCTTATGATCCAGATGTCCTCTACTATATCTTCTTGTGTATTCAGAAGGTAGGTGGGAGGACAGCTGCATGTGCAGCAGAGCAGTGTACGTTGTCAGAATGTGTGAAGAGCATTTTTTGAAAAAAAGAAGAGAAAAAAAAAAAGGTTTTTATCGAGCTTCTCAACAGCCTAATAAAGGGGAAAAAAAAAACTGTTTGCTAAACAGCTTTTAAGTGCAAATAGTCTGAAATCCACTTAGTAGACACCTTTTCATGGGTTAAGAATGGGAAGAATTATTAATAATTGAGTTCAGTAGCATGGCGAAAATGAAGTTTAAGGCAAAAACTTATCTTTATGTGGTCCAGGAAATGTGGGCTGCCAAAGCTAGTGTCCTTTCTGGAAGAGCTGCAGGAACAGAGTCTGATATGAAAGCCAGGCATGCCTGTCCTCATCCAAAAGTCTGAAAGAGTTTAGTGCCCGCCAGACAGCTGTGTAAAATAACTTCCAGTGAGTGCATTTAAAATGTGAAATCCAGCTAGCTCTGGTTTAAGATGTATTTCCTTCTTTTCTAACCATTTCCATCACAGTAATCAAGGTTAATTATTTTGTACTGGCTTCAGCACAAGCATCCTCCTACTCTCCAGGGTAGGATGTTAGGATCTTCAGTGCTATTCTGTAAAGTGTTTAAATAACTGGGTAAACAGACTCTTAGGGTAAAGCCTTGCCTGAAAAGACTGTACTCATTGCCACTGCACTGGCCTGTGTTGTGAATCTCTTCCAGTATCTCTTTGAAAATGGTCGAGTAGATGACATCTTCTCAGATCTTTACTATATTCGGTTCACTGAGTGGTTGCATGAAGTTCTTAAGGACGTACAGCCTCGTGTTTCTCCTCTTGGTAAGAGCTTCTGTTTAAGAACTTCAATTTTTTTCTGAGGTTTGGGGCATTGAAAATGAACTACAGCATGAGTGTAGTTCCAAACAGAAACCCTTCAAAAGTGCTTAGTGTCTCCCTATGACAATGCCCAGAGATGCTCAATAACTTCAATGAATATTAGGGTTATTTCATGTGCCACGCTCTAGACCTTATCCTGGTTTGGACTTATTTATCATTTATCATCCACTAGAAGGCAGCTTGGTGGGAGTTTTGTGGTGTTGGGAGGTTGTCTTGCTCAGAAGTGAGTTGAGCCTTGAGATCTGAATCAAGCTTCCTCAGCTCAGGTGCTAATACATCTTGCCTGTAGCATGTATTGTCACTTTGGTGGTGCTGTCATGTAGCCAGATGGATACAGTCGCCAGGACCAGCTAAGCTTCCACGAGAGAAACAGTGAGTGCTTAGAGTTTGATATACTGCAGTCAGATGCAGCTCCCCTCAACCCTGTGTCTAGAAGATGATAGTGGCAGGGGTGGAGGGATCAGTTCCTGAAAACACGGATTTTGAGGGTTATGTATGAGAACTGGAGTAGGAATCACACTTTAGGAGAGCAGAAACCTGGCTTCCTTGACTTGATTCCCTTTGATCTGATTAGATGTCAGTGAAGAAGCCACTGCTGTGTTCAGAAAAGTAGCTGACATTAGAGACTTGATGCCTAAGTAGCACCCCGAGTTTCGGAATCCTTTTGTTTCCCCGCTGGCCGTTTGATCTGTGCTTTGTCATTCCCCAGGCTGTGGAGTTCATACTGATGTCTGTTTTTCTGTTTATCTGTGTATTTGGAGGATAGTGTTTCTCTTCCACACAAAGGGAAAAAAAAATCTGAGAATCAAAGGATTACTCATGTGTCCAAATACATCACTTGGCACCGTGTGCTGACTAAAGCTGCACACAGGGCCAAGAGTTGATTTTTTTTTTTTTTTTTAAATACTGCCCTGCCTGCTCTCACATGTTATTGGATTAGGAGCATCTGCATTCTGCATTAGAGTCAGACCATTAATTAAAAGACTCTTTTGAGTGCATTATTTATTTTGGTCTCATTTGGGATGTATAGACATGCTGCAGGAGGATATTCTCTATAACTTGAGGCTGACATATGTATATGTCCTTTGTAATTGTGCCTATATTAAGGAAATACTTGCATAGTAGTGAATATTGACACTGAAAAAAAATCTCAGCCTCCTTCCTTTAAGATTCCTGTGCTGTCTAACACTTAGGGTATAAAATGCTGCCAAGTTCCTGCAGTAACTGTGTCCTGGCATGATGCTGACTTGTGGCTATTGCAGGTTACGTCCTCTCCAGTCACGTAACAGAAGAGATGCTGTGGGAGTGTAAGCAGCTAGGAGCTCACTCTCCCTCCACCTTGCTCACTACACTGATGTTTTTCAATACAAAGTAAGTATTTGGGTTTCTGTGCGCAGGAGGGGGAGAGAAGTTGTGCTGATAAGGGGTTATTTGTTTATTTGTTTCAAATTTTTAATAAAGGAACTTTGAATACCTTGTCAGGGTTGGCAGGAAGCTGCTGCCATAGATCAGGTGAGATTATGAGTTTTTGAATGGTTGTACACAGAGTCCTCTTGCAGCCCCATCAGGCCAAGTCGTTGCAGTACAACAAGGAAATGAGCTAGCAAGAGGGGAAATGGAAGTGTTGGCGGTTGCACGCGTTTGTGGTGGAGCAGCGTCTAGCTCAGTGCTGGTTTGAGGGCTCATCTGGCCCATGGTGAATGGAGATAACTACCTCGTTGTTGTGACTGCTACCTTTTGCTTGCCTCTGAATGTCCTGTGTTCTCATCTTGCTGCTCAGATACTTCCTATTGAAAACAGTAGACCAGCATATGAAGTTGGCCTTCTCTAAGGTGTTGAGGCAGACCAAGAAGAACCCTTCTAATCCCAAGGATAAAAGCACGAGTATCCGCTATCTGAAGGCTCCTGGCATACACCAGACAGGCCAGAAAGGTAGTATGTGGAAGTTTTATTTTGGAATTTTTTTTTTTTTTTTTACTGGGCTTGGAGAGACATAAAATTATCTCCAGGTAGGGGCACAAGAGCCTACGAGGCCAAAGGTAGTTGGCAGTTCTCTTTATGCTCACTCTGAGAGCGCTTAGTACCTTCCAGCACTAAGTTTGTTTTATGCTTTGTCTGAGGCATGCAGGACTCATTGAGATCAGAGGATAACTTTTTTTTCTTCTAGTTCTGCTTCTGTGGACAAAGGTGCAATTGGATGTGGTGTTTTAGAACAGGGGGAGAAACTTCTCTGGGAGGACTTCTCTTTCTGGAAGTACTTGGGTTCTGTGTGAACCCGCATATGGAGTCCATACATAAATAGCCTGCCCTCCCAGGGGCACGGGCCCAGGCTTTCCTGGCTCAAAAGCTGCATTTTCAGTAGTGAAACTGCTTTGAATTTGGGAGCAGAGAGAAGAGAAATGTAAAAATGGGTATGGGCTGTGGGATTCAGTGGGCCTGGGATAAAGCAAATTCTTCAAAAAATAAGACCAAACATCTGTACCTGGGAACAGCACTGCACCTCTTGCCAGCTGTTGCATAGTAAGAAGCTCCTTCCGAGTGCTGAGGCCCCTTGACACTGCTCAGTTTGTGATGCTTCTCGTGCCGAGCACCTGACTGACCTCTGTGGCTGGGGGGCTTCGTTTGTAGTTACAGATGACATGTATGCCGAGCAGACTGAGAATCCGGAGAACCCCCTGAGATGCCCGATAAAGCTGTATGACTTCTACCTCTTCAAATGGTGAGAGCGCCCGTTGCGATGCATGCTCGCTTGGTGGCTGGGGTAACCGGCATCGTGGAGCTGCTGTGGTTCTCAGGGCAGTGTTTCCCTGCTGGCAGTTTCCCTAAATGTGCACAGATGGGTTTGGGGGCACTGATGTGAGAGGGTGCTGTTTGATCTGTCATTGTATAAATAATGTAACCAGAGCGACGTTGGTGTTCAGAGACAAATGCTGATTTGTGAACTGGCTGCTGTTAATCTTGTATTCGTACTGCTGCTGGGCTGTGTTGGCATAAGCTCACTGTTCTGCCTGTGACTTCCAAGCAAGTCATCTGCAAGCGTCTTCTGCTTGAGACGGATTAGATTTCTAGTCAAATTAAGTTGTAAAACAAAAATAAGCACTTCAGAAATAGCAGTGAGCTGCAGAGGACTTGGTCCAAATTATGATTGTGATCAGTAATGTATGTGTTCCTCTTCATGGACAGCTCTGTAGCTAGCCTGGGTGTAAAAGCACCCTATTTTTGCTTTACTCAGAAATAAATTTAAGGTCAAATATTTGCTATACCCGTTAGTGTGAAATAAAAAAAAATACTTTCTTGTAGTTGTCATTGGCTTAAAAGCCCTGGGACCCCTGTTGTCCCTGGAGTAAGTACCTGCACAAGGTCCTGTGCGTGTCTCAGCAGCCAGCTGCTCCCTGTCAGCATTTGTGAAGCGGGGCCGAGGACGTCGGGGGGCTCTCTCCCAGGACGTGCTGTTAGTCTGGTTGTTTCTGATCTTCCTCACGCAGCCCCCAGAGTGTGAAAGGCCGGAATGACACGTTTTACTTGACTCCGGAGCCAGTGGTGGCCCCCAACAGCCCCATCTGGTATTCCATCCAGCCGATCAGCAGAGAGCAGATGGAGCAGATGCTCACCCGGATCCTGGTGATACGAGAGATTCAGGAAGCTCTTGCCGTGGCTAATGCCAGCACCATGCACTAAGGCATCCTTCTTGGCTCAGAAGGGGTGGGATGGGGTGACGGGGAGGGACAAGCAAAGATAAATTGTACAGACTTTTACACTAAAGGAGATGCCTAAGTTTTTGGTTTTTTATTGGTGTAGTTATGAAGCCCTTTTAGGCTTCTTCTCTTTAAAAGAATCTAAAGGAAAACCTACCCATTGTGTATCCTACCCAACACACCAAACTGTTGGAACCATTGGAGGCTGCATATCCCCTGCAAGCTGGGAGCTGTGGAAGGCTGCTGGTTGACTCTGGTTTTTTTTTTTTCATGATGTAGAAAACATGAACTACAGGATTGGCCTGGATGGCTGGGGCCTCTGTCTCCTCGGAGCCTGTGCAGCCTAGAGGGCACAGAATGATGGATGGACCTGCCCAGCCAGTGGAGGAGAGGCAGGCATATCTTTTCTTGTGCTCGGACATTAATTTGCTGTTATCTTGGAAGGAAGAGGAAAGAGTGAACTGCAATTGTGATTTATAAGAGAAAAAAAAAAACAAAAAAAAAAGCCCAATGATTTCTATTCAGACCTTTAAGTGACATTTTTAGATGTTAAAGTACAAACTTTACCACACTTTTTTTTTTTTTTTTTTTGGCCTGACATTGAGGCCTTAAACCTTGAGGCTCCTGTGCCTGATGGAATTCTTGTAACATACACTTGTGTATCATATAAAGATACCACCCTGTTTCTCTTATGTATTCTTACTCTAGTTGTTTATTAAGAATGACGAGCACGTCTTTTCAACATGCCATTGAACAATGTGTCTTTATTTGGGGAAGAGTGAGCTGTGAGGGTGGGGGGGGGGGCATTATACCAAGATCAGAATGCAAAATCTGGTTGTTTTCATCCCTGTTTGTGCTTTCCAGCTTGAGTCCACTGGACTTTTCACCCTGCAAATTAGGAAGGTAGAAGGGGATTAACTTCTCTTGACGGACCTGGACGTCTGCTTGCTGATGGAAGCTTAGTGTCAGGCTAGGAATGTGGAATCTGCGGCACCGGCTCAGGCCCTCGGTCTGTCCTGGTGTTCTGTGGCCAGCGTGTGAGACTTCACTCCTAGGTAAATCCTCCTCTCCCCGTTCTGCAGGTGCACCGCACTAGCTGCGTGCAGGAGGGGTGCTAGAGGAAAAGGCCTGCCAGGAGCAGCACGTGGCTCCCTCCTGCCATGTAAGAGCTTTCTCACCGTTTGAAACACAGCTACGTAGCTTCGGGCATTGTTCATGATCATACACCCCACCCCTTACAGCCTCGCTGCATCTTGAACGGTTGCTGTATTTTATATCATTAACAAATAGTCTGCTCTTTTGAGGCCAGCAGGTAGCCAGTTGTGCTTGAAATGGGAGGTCACTAGCCAGGCTTATTGTTTGTGCCACCAGCCTCTTGGATGTGGAGAGGTGACTCTGCTTCTTGAACTTGTCTTCCCTGCTTATCCATCTCCTATATCCCTCCCCTATTCCAAAAAATAAATATATATATATATAAATATATACTACAGTAAAAACTTGTGTACAGGCAAGCAACTTTTCTGAAGCTTCTGTTGACCAGCACCTGTGTGTCTCGTGAAGGAAGGTCTGCCCTCCCTGGTTGCTGTGTGTAAATCTCTACATAGGTTAGGCTAGACCTTGACTCTGGGAGTAGCCATAAAGCTGCCAGCCTCTGCTCTTAATCCGTGTGGAAGAGCCAGGGCCTGGAGAGGCTTCAGGCTTGCGGGGCTTCGTGTTGACACTGGTGTTTGTGAGAAAGCTGGTGTGTAAGTTGGTTGTGAAGAGGAGCAGTTTTATCCCTGCCTAGGGCTGTGCTCAAATACATGCGCAAAGGGAAGGGAGCAACTAGCTTCCCGGTACCTCCACTCTAAAGCAAACTTGGAGCTTCGTCTCCCACCTCAGTTATGGGAGGAGGAAATAGGAAATGGTACCCACGTCCCAGTGGGTATGTTAGGAGGACAGGGCGCAGTGCTGTGCAATGCTGGCAACGTAGCCTCCCCTTCAGGTCAGCTGCGAGGAGCCATCGCTCACCGCCGGGTAGGGCGACGTCAGGAGCAGTAGTACTTCTAAAGCTGCAAAAATTCTGTAATCCTTTCCCCATATTTTAGTGGCTGAAACGTCCATCTCTGGCCCTAACTTAAATATTGAGGGCACGGTTAGGAGCCAGCTCCCGCTGTCTCTTGTTGCTCAGGATGCCAAGCGGGCCTGCACAGAGCAGCCTTCCCGTTCTTTGAGCAGTTTGTCCTGTCTTCTGAACAGAGATGTGACAGTGAGAGAGCAACTGCAGACTAAGCACCTGTGCCCACGTCCCCGTGTGCTCCGCAGTTCTGCATGCGGAGCTGGGTCCCGCTGAGCTCAGTCCAGCTCCTCTGGTAACACAGCAGGGTTTAAACCCGTCTGCCAGGTACCAAGGGTGCAATTCGCTTCCTTAGGTGGCCGTGGTAGTCGCCTATTGTGCTTGAACGTGGCCAGAACATCAGGGCAGTTTGGGGTTAGGGCTGAGTGGGTGATGATGGCAGAGCTGTCTGGGAAAACAAAAATGCATTGTGCAAAAAATGGCTAGAAAATAGAGCTTGAGCTGTCCCCTTACTCCTTATAGCAGTGAAATGATCTACAGTGTTAGAAGGGGAAGCCTGCTGCTTCACCTGGAGGAGCAGAGCTTGTAAGAGCAGGGGAGCTGGACACGCAGCGAGCTGCAGAGGTCTCTGAATGGCTGGCGGTGTCCTGACGAACTGAAATGTTTCCATTGCGTTCTCGTTCTTCTGTGATCTATAGGAGATGAATTCCTCGACTTGGAAGTGGACTGGGGTACTGTTTTGTACTGTCTCATCAAGATGTCCACAGTTAGTTTCATTCCCTATTTTTAGAGACAATCGATATACTGTGACTTAAGGATTTTTCTTTTCTGGACATGGCTTCTAGTCTGGCTCTCTGGAGCTAACTGAAAAGGTACAGTATTTCTAGAATATAAATACTATGTTCTTTGATAGTGAAGAACATGATCTATTCCCTTTTAGGGACTCATAGGAAGACGTGCACAGAGTAGCACAGAAGAGTGCTGTGGCTTAGGGTTGCTGTCCAAGCGCTGGGAAGCGTTCCCAGTCAAACATGTAAAATAGCTTTTTAACACTTTCCTATAACCAGCTTGTTTGACTGCTGCTTAAAGGGCGTCCCACCTCGGCCCCACGAGTGCCAAATCGCTAGCTGCTGTATGCGTGTATATACCGAACAAGAACTCTCCGTGCCCCTTGCGATGTATGAGACAGAGGCTGGAAACGCATCAGTCTCAAAAGTAAAGCTGAGAAGAGGCAAACTAGAGACCCTGCATTGTTGGTTGTGAACTGTGCCCATCTTGTCTCCGTGGTATGAAAGGAGCTGTGGAAGGCGGACTGTGACTGACTATTGTAAAGCGTCTCCCATCCTGACCTTAGACTCGCGCATTGTCCCGTCTCCAGACATCCACAGCCGTTCTTTCCTGCGGGAACCCGTAGCCTCTTGCACCCTTGTCTGCGGCACCATTAGATTTTGTCACTTACTTTTGACGGTTTGAGCATTTTCTTTAAGTGGTGATGGCTGAAGCAGGAGAGCAGGCGAGAGAGGGATGCCCTTCCCTCCTGTCCAGAGCAGCGAGTGAAGGGAACAGCCTCTATGTGACTTAACAGGGCTGCCCTCCGTTGGCTGCTTCACCCTAGAGACCTCCTGGGTTTTAGATAGGAGACTAGGCCTGAAGTAGTTCCCACACTGTTTGGCTTTGGAGCAGTGGGATAAATCCCTAAACGGGATCCCTTCTACACTGTGGCTCCTTGGGCAGGAAGTGAGGCAGTCGTGTCCTCAGCTGTATGGAGGCGACCGTCTGCCTTGGTGTGTTTGGAATGGATTAGGCCATCAATGCAGCGACAAGAACAGCCCCAGAGTGGTAGAAAAGAGCCCTCTGAGCATCTGTTGGGGTGGAAGGCTTCCTCATACTGTTCTTTCTCATCCTCTCCCTCTTCTGGCTGAGTGCTGCTAGGCACCAACTGGCTCTGCACTAACCAAACCGCGCTCTCATCCAAGTTTCATGGTGACTGACTTGCAATTAGTGTTTGGACTCTTAAACCACTGTTAAAATGGGATATAAACCGTCTTCCACCCTATATGGGGCTTTTCTCCCCCGTCTTCTTGCTGGAGCTGCTCATCTCTATTACAGGGAATGCACCTTATCCTACTGTTTTAGCCTTTTCCATTTCAATGGTGCCAATGCATAGGAAAAACAAACAAAAAAACCCACCCTTCTGAACTGCTGGCAGTGCTAACTCGAGCATCTTCCTCCCTTAAGAAGCATCTGCAAACCTTCTTCTGGAAGTCTTACTGACATGCTGCCCCAAAGCCTGTGCCGCGGCCTGCTGCTTCCCTCTGCCTGTGCAGCTGGGGCTCAGCCACGTTTGCCTGCTCCTCTGCGTCCTCCTTTGCGCCCCTCGGCACGGGGAGGCAGATTGAACCCACTTAAAGCAGCAATAAACTGGGTCTAGAGCTCAAGAGGGAACTGCAGGAGAGAACAAGGTGGAGGGGGTGCCTCCGAAAGGCAGGGTCCGGTTGCAGCCCAGAGCCTCGCTTGATAATGAGTGTGCAGCCTATATGCAAAAACGTCTCGTCTGTCCCTCCCGTGTTGACCCTGGTCTAAACAGCACATGTGATTGGCATCCTGCAAAGTGACCTTCAGAACTCTCCAGTAGCTTTGCCCCGTGAGTAACTCACACTACAAATCATTTTAAAGAGATGCACTCAACTATTTTTTTAATTTAATTTTACTCTTATATTCTCTGCTCTTTGTAATCTGCTTGGAAATAAAATGTTTTTCCCTGCAGCCTTTGTTGTAGTCTGTTTGAGAACCATTAAACTTTTGCCTTGTGTTTCCATTGGAAAAGAAGCCACCTTGCCTGTTTACTGTTGTGCCTGTGCTCTAGCATAACAGCCGAGATCAGCGTGTGCCTCCCAGGACAGTTTAACAAACCTCCAGTAGCGCTGTCCTTAAATAAGACCGAGGGTATGTAGACCTGTTAAACTGATCTTAACTGGCACAATGCCCCCAGTTTTGCTGATCCCGTGACGGGTGAAGCTTGCTCTAGAGTGCACGTGCTTGAGAGATTATGTTTTCCTTTGAAATACTGTATTTCTTTTTCTTTTGAAGGCTCAGCCTCTTGAAGTAAGTAGCTATTTTCTTACAGTAATGACTTTGGTGCAAGTCTACACACTTAATTTACTATAAAGGCCAGTGCTTTCTTATAGCTATCTCAAACTGTAAAAAATGAAAAATCAGTGTCTGGGTAGGGGAACTCTTCCCTTAGCTGAGAGGTGACCCAGCACTTACAGACACAAGTAAAATCAGTGTGGGGCGTTAAACTTTATAGTAGTTTGCAATAGATTTAAGGATTTGACCCCTGTGAAGTTTAGAGCAGAGGAGGACAGAGATTGTGTTGATGTCACTGTTCACTTTAGTACACGGTAACGGGCCAGTTAGCAGTGTTTTTAATAACATTTAAGTGACGTTGCAGATCCTTGTCCCTGACCTAAGGATGCAGGGCCTGTTTTCCTTAGGTACTGGAGGGCTGTCGCACGCTCGCCGTGTGTGTTCCTGCACTGAGGTGGGCTTAAGGCACCCGTGTGCCTTTCCTGCTAGGAATAAAACCACGACCTGACAGGGAGTGAATCTCAGCTTTAGGAATCTTCCTCCTCACTTCTGTGCAGGTTAGTTCTGCTGAAACCAACCTTGCCAGGCCGAGTCCTGCTGCTGTCCTGAGCACGTTTATTTTTCTTCCCTATACATGTAAGCATAGATATTAAAAGCTGAGCTGGATGGTCCCTGTCCAACCTCGGCCTAACCCGTAGGTTTTCCCAGAGCCACCTGCAGGTCTCTGGAGGGGGATTAAAGCCCGGCAGTAAGGGACAGTTGGGTGTCGTCACGGCGCTCCCTGCGCTGCTCTGGCACAGACGCTGGCCCAGGCTGGGAGGGCGAGACGCACGCTCCTGCCGGGCGGGTGCCAGGAGCTGCGGCTTCCTGGGCTGCACCTACAGAACCTATCGGTCTACAGGAACCCTTCCACAGGTTCTACAGGAGTTTATGGATGCCCAAATGGATTTGTAGGGAGAGGCCGCTCCGCCTCCAGCCCGGAGCTCCCCCCCCGCCGCTTCTCCCGGGGCCGCCGCC